GGGGGGGGGGGAGCAGGCTAGGGGAGCTGTTCCTGTTTCAATGAGTGCGAAATAATTTTTTGGAGTAAATCGATTTAATATTTTTATTTTGTGATCAGTAATTTTTATCACTGAATTTAAATGAAATACTGTGAAAATGCGAAATCGCTCGTCTAGATTTCTTTCAGAAAATTCCAGTTTTAGAAGATTTCTGGGCGCATCACTGAGTATTCTGTTCAAATACTGCGCCAACTGTTTTTATCTTCACTGAGTATTCTGCCCAAATATTGCACCAGCAATTTTTGTCTTTTTTTTTTTTGGGTTGCAGAATAAATAAAATTACATTTTCACTAGCCGGATAAAGTAAAAATATTTTATGTTTGAACAAACGTATTTGGACAGATATGTATTACCCCGAAAAGTGCTTCACGGGTGGAGGTTGAGGGAGGCTGAGGACGATAGAGGGAAGGAGGAGGGACGAGGTAGGAATAGGGAAATAAATTGTTAATTTAAGCCTTATTAGCTTCACTGTTTTTATGGACATGGGATTTTTGGGCAAATCTGTATTACCCCCAATATTTGTGGCAGCTATTCATTACAAGTACTTGTAGCAAGTATTTTTTATTAGTTACTCGTTAGTGATGATCTCACGGCGCACTTTTCGCGCAAAATTATCATAATTCTCGATACATCTATTTTGAGGATTCCTCTAAGATTGGCATTGCGGTCTCCTATATCGATGAAAAGGGAAATTGAGAAAGCATATTACAGCGTTATGTTACCGCTTTCGGCATATCGTGTACGAACGTACGTTTGTTTCGAAAGTTTTTCTTTAAATTTATTGAAAAAATAACTTTGTTTTTTAGAGGAAGCGAAAATCTCACTGCAATTCAGAAATGTAAATAAGTTACCACGATAATTATAGCAGTGCAGAAGGATGGAAAAAACGTCTTCAAAATCATTGCATGTGTAGAAGCCTGCAATGTTTTAGTATGGGTCCTCGTAAAATTACAGCTTCCTGGCTTCCCTAGTTGCTGAATTCGGATTGATTGGCAAAATACGGACGCACACAAACAAGCACAGACAAACTCTCGTTATTTTTCGTTTTTGCATTTCATAACTGATGCCAAATTAGCAAAAATTTTGTCACTTTTGGCTTAAAAATAATAAAAATTTTTTGTCACTCTACAGAGATGTTACATACTAATGTAAATTTTCAGAAGTCTTCGTGTTGGTAATCTGAGCAGTCCAACAGAACACATTGTTGCAAACGTTTCTACAGCTATCGAAAAATTGTTCCAGTTCTGCCCGGGTGGTTTAGCGAATATTCGTTCGCTTAATTTCCAGATGATTACTGGTGGCCCATCACTACCACTTTACATCGATGTTGGTGAGTTTTTTTATCCATTTGTACGATCCAGAATGAATCCTAGCATTTTTGCTATTTTTATCGACAAGTGGCCAAAGTTAAGACCGAAAAATCGAGTACAAAGTATCAGTCCTCTAAAAATGATAGACTGTTTCTTTTTTAGTAAACGAATTTAGACTTTTTCCTGACAGTTATTCTGCGATTTCTAGGTTCTCGAAATAACGTGGTTTTGCCTCAGCCGAAAGGTAAAGGTGCGCCTGTGAAGAAGGAAAAATCACCGATCATTGACGAACTATCGACATTACCAGAAGGCATGGAGGTTTTAGTGCAACGAAACGGAGATGTCAGAGTTGTGGATTCCAAAAGTAAGCACCACGCAAATTCCAAAGCCAAAAATAGTATGAAGAGATCGAAGGTTGAGGTAAAACAGAGATACTTGTATTGGAATGTTTTTTTTTTT